ATTCAAATAAAAAATTTAATCAATTTATTTTATTTAAATTTAAGTAAATAATTTTCAAATAAAATGTAACTACAGTGCAATAGTGAGTAAAAGGCATTGATGTAATGTAATAAATAATAAATAGTAAATAAATAATAATTTAAAAAATATATATAATAATAATAATAATACTAAAATATAAATAAAATTACATTTAACTAATATATATATATATATATTAGTTAACAAATTTTTATTTATATTTTAGTATTATATATATATATATATAAAATAAAATAAATTGAATAAGTAAATAATTTTAAAATAAACTGTAACTACAGTACTACAGTGCGTAAAAAAAGGCATTGATGCAATGTAACATAGAAATTTAATAAACTAAATGCATGGAAAATATATAGCTGGCTTTGAAATTTAACAATTTACAACAGGGGTCCCTTACGATCATATTTGGGGTCCGTGTTGTCTAAAAAGATTGAAAACCTCTCAACTAAAGCATCAAACTATATTAATACTGGTGTATATTATATATATATATATATGCACAACTAAGCAGCAGCATGAGCCTATTATTGATAACATATCATATTATTATATTATATATTACAGATGACATATAACAAATATCACGACAGACGCGTTCGTCCTGCGGTAAGCGAGCTAGCTAGCGTTCAGGCCGCGCTACTAAAGCCCTGAGGAGAATAATCCAGAGAGAAAGCAAACTAGAAACAAAAACTTACGCTTATTTGGGTCTAGATGTGCGGTCGGAGTGGGCAGCGACTCGGGGACAGGCGGGGAGCTCGAGGGTTTTCTCCGGTAGCGGGATTTTGTCCCGTTTCTTTCTGCAGCCGTTTGTTTCTGTACGCGTCTCACACAGACTGGGGCGCGGCGCTCCGCACTCGCTGAGGTGAAGAGGCTTCTGATTGGTCCGCGTCACACGAGCTCCCGCCCACTTCGAGAAACCGCCTTTGATGTGAGCCGCCCACATCAGCGATGGGCGGGGCCTGTCCGTCCGCCTGTGTAATCTGTTGTTTTGTGTGAATAACAGTTTCTAACACGGTTTTTCAGTTAATTAGCTTTTTTTTTTAACTGCACATCTATTTTTAAAAGCTTATGCTTATAGTTTGAACCTGTAATATACATGCATATATACTTATGCAATCATTAAAATAATGAAAAAATATGCACGTTGCAATGAATGCGCATCTTTCAGAGGAGTAGTAATGCT